AGTAGTCCATCATAGTATTGGGTCTTCCGCTTCACTGGCAATGTCAGAAATTGTTGACCTGAGTCCCCTACAGCTCAACATAACAGCATGGCTTTACTTCTTATATTTTGTTTTTTTACTTTTCTGCTGGGTGGTTAAGAACAAGATAAAGCAAGAACTATGCAACAAAAGTTGTAGCTTTTGGGTCTGATAAGGTCAGTGAAATCCCCTCAGGATTTATTCTGAGATCCTGTACCTCAGATTGTAGATCCTTTGTCAGTGTCAGCCATGTGGATGAGTCACGGCCATGGTTTGGCCAATGTGCTCTCAGTGGAAGTCTGAGAGAATGTTTTCTCTCCATGTGACTCTCCTTAGGCACACTCTACATCATAGATCACTTTCCTCTTTGGCCCCATAATCTCCTTGATCAGAAAATTTGGGACACTACTGAGTTACGTGACGTTACAGTACAAGATCTCATATGTCTTGAGTCTTAATTGACCTTGGAAGGCTAGGGCCAAAATGTTGGCTTTCCTTGCAGCCCTTCTTTTTCTCTAATTTTGGTCTGCAAACTTAGGTTGTTAACCCTCCAGAAGAGAGGTTTATTGTTATTACCATACAACCTAGGCTGTTAAGCTTAACCTCACTATCTGTCTGCATATCAAACATCTTAGGCATAACATGGAACAGGTATTTTTCCTCAAGTATTGATATGCTGAACCTTAAGTCCCTACAGAATATGATGAAAAAACATTAAAAAATTAGAATATATTTTAAAAATAAGCATAAAGAATTGTATAATTCTTATGTTTACACGTAAGTCCAAAAATCTAACCATATACAACTTTGAATCAGGACAGACCTACAACATTCCTTTTCCTGTCTACACGATGTTTTTTAAAAGAACTGAAATCTAAATGTGGTGAATCTGAAATGGGGAATAGGTATAATTAATTACAGCAACATTGTTACCATGCCAGGGGCTGGGCCTGAAAGGAATGAGTCCAGGCCCAAGAGAAGGGCAGCGATGGACAGGCAGGCCTGCCAAGAAAACTTGGTTCACTCTCCATTCCTCTCAGCAGCTAATGCTCAGAGTTGGAAGATTTAAAGCTTTGGTTCCTGTTTGGCTGGTCTAGCTGACCCCAGCATCAACTGCCTTGATTGGAAATAAACAGGATCTTCCTTTTTGTCCCCAGGAATGTGGTGGAGGAAGGACTGTAAGGGAAAGGGCCTCCTTTGCCAAAAAAATTAACAACAACAAGAAGGATGACAGTAGGACTGCGATTCTGGCCCTTAAACCCAGGGTGATAAGGAAGTATCCTGTTGTGTGTGCCGACGCTTGTCACTTTCCAGGTGGTCCTAGAGCTCTAGGATTCACAAGACCAGGAATGTCATGCATGTCCACAGTACCTAGCGCAGCCCATGGTCTTTGGAAGCTGGGTAGAAGGACTGTGGAAGAAAATGGGGCAGGCTTAGGGAAGCTTATAGCTCACATACAGTTGGCTGTGCAGAGGGGTGCAGCGACCCAGGAAAGACCCAGATGACTGCAGCAGCCTGCCTTGTCCCTTAGTAATTCTGGGGCAGGGGTGAGTTGGTCCACCAAGAAGACAAATGGGACTTGTTGAATCCCAAAGGGACTGTCTGTTCACCTTCTGGGCCAGCCTGCTCTTGGGATTCTTTAGCTCTCTTCTCTCCATATTACTCAAAGAATAATTATTTATTATTACCTTTATTTTTTTTTTTTTTTTTTTTTTTTGAGAAAGTGATAGGGAGGGGATGTCTTCCTTTCCTTTTTCAATCTTCCTTGGTTCTTCTCCTTCTCCCTTCCCCTTCCCTTTTTTTCACTTTTCCATCCTATTCTTCCTCTCTTCTGAGCTGCCGGAAGCTAAGGCAGCAAGGAGGGGTGAATTCAATTACCTTTCTGCTGATCACCTTTAAATGCATTCAGGAAACTTTTACTGCAATAGCTTGAATGTTTCTATCCACCTAACACTCATGCAAAGACCCTAACCTCTAAAGGTGACAGTGTTAGGAAGTGTGTGCTTTAGAGGTAATTAGGTCATAAGGGTGGAGTCCTCTGAATGGAATTATTGCCCTTCTGAAAGAGCCCAAGAGTTCTCAAGTCCTTCCATAGGATGAGAACATAATGAAAAGATGTCTATGAACCAGAAAGTGGGGTCTCACCGCATACAGAACATGCACACCTTGACCTCCAGAGCTATGAAAGGTTTTTTTGTTGTTTATGAGCCACCAATTTATAGTATTTATTTTAGCATCTTGATGAGCAAAAGCAAGTATTCTGCTCAAGAACTCCCAGTAGCTCCTACCATCATTCATTTGCGTTGTAAACACTGTAGCCCACCTTGATCGGAGGTAGCTTGAACTTAAGTTTTTCTGTTTTCCCCATCCAGTCAACAGGACTTTTTGGTGTGTTCATAGAAATGGAGACTGGCGGGGATGGAAAGTGTTTCCAGGTGAGACCAGCAGCACCTGGAAGGCCAAGCAGGGGATGTGAGAGGCCGGAGGGGAAGCTGCAGCATTGGGAAGTGACTGGATCGTGAGGCTTGGAGGTCACACTAGAGATTTTTGCATGGTTTTATGAGTTGAGCTGGACTCATTGGAAGTTTTCACGTGGGATGAAACAGCCTCTAGAATGGTTACCTGGGGCCACATGGAGGAGGGGACAGCAATGAGGGGGCCTAGAAAGGGCACAAGACCCCTGTCCTCCTTGGGGTCGCTGCCAGATGATTTGGAGGCAGAGAGGAGAGAGAGGCTGCTGGTGCTGCTCCTTGGCTGGGCAGAGGAGGACACTTTTCTGATGGTCTCTCAGCGGGCCTGGGCCAGCTTCCTTGCCTCCACAGGTCCCCTCCTACCACAGCCTGGAGGAAAGCAGGGGTGAAAGGTGGCTGGGGGGGGCAGGGTATCATGACAGGGGGCTGCTGCTTCCTCCTTTTCAGGCAGGAAAGGTAAACACAGGCAGACAATGGAACAGAGACGGTGCATCCAGCAGTGAAGAGGCGGAGGTGAGGGCCTGGCCCTTGGTCCTACAGGGCTGCCTTTGATCCCTTATCTTTGGAGGGTAAGCTTTCTTGTTTTGGCCTGTGGTGACCTTTTGCTGCAGCATTTCCTGGAGCCCCTCAAAGTAAACACAGTCAAGTCTGCATCCTCACAGCTGCTCAGGGTGGGGTGCACTCCTCCCAGCAGAGAGAGGGTGGGCAGGTCCCCCAGGAGATAGACTGGCACTGTGCATCAAACGAGACCCTCAAGTGTGGTGCCGTGGCATGCTGAGCACTTTGAACTAAAGGAGACTGGGAGGCTTTCGAAGCCTCTCTTTTCTTGGCTCTGCTGTCTCACCTCTCCTCCTTCTCCCTGAAGCTGGTTCTCAAAACCAAAGGTCCCAGGTGGGTCACAGAAATTAGAGCCAACGTAAGCCATAAATCCTGGAAGTTTTACACCAGCTTATCTTTCTGAGTAGCAGCTGGCTCTAAGTAGAGTCTCTGACCTCCTGCCTTATCTGATAGTAGGGCTAGAAGCCCCTCATTCCAGAGGGGTCCTGCCCCAAACCTGGAAGGAAGGAATGCTGCCACGCTGAGACCAAGAAGAATGTAGACAGGCCTTGCTAGGCTTCCTCCTTCAGTCTTTTGGCCAACCCATTTCTACACAGCTATTATTCACCTTGCCTAGCAGAAAGATAGTCTTCCCTGGATCTTTCAATTGCCATTTCTGAAGGCTCCCATGTGATCTTAGTTACTTTTTCCTCCTTGAGACACAATACCTGATATCTGCAATTTTGAGGAGGTTTATTTTGGCTCACAATTTATGGAGTTTATAGTTAATTTAGTTCACAATTTATTTGGTCCAATTTATAGCCCACTGGCACCAAGGCAGGGTGGCATGGCAGAGGGGCATCACAGAAAAGAAAGAGCTCAGGGCAGGGCAGGCAGGAAACAAAGGGATCAAGGGAAGAGGAGGGAGATGGATCCTTTCAGGCCACGCCCCCAGGGACACCTCATCCCACTAGACTCCGCCTTCCAACATCACAGCTGAAGTCCTCAGTGGACTAAGCCACAGATAGGAATGAAACCTCATGACCTAGTCACTCCCCTAAAGCTCCATGACTTCACGAGTTGTTGGGAGACATCTAGATTTAAACCATAGCCCCTGTCTTGTAGGCCTTTGCTTAAATAAACATTTTCTCTTGTCAGTTTGTCTTTTGCTGTGAGAGTGTCAGCACCCGACCCTTCTGATGGGTGAGGACAGGTTTCACACCCCTTCCATCCCCTGTATGGTTAAGGCTGGGCGGGCCTTTAGCTACCACAGGGTGTGAGTGGTGACAGCCCAGGGGTATCTGGGTGCCTTTCCGGAGGGTGGAGAGAAAAAGGTAAGGCTAGGCAGGGAGAAGTACAGATCCTTTCAGAAGGGGACATTTAGGAGTTACCTGCACATGGATAGGAAGGGTGCGTGTATATGTGTGTGTGTGTGTGAGAGAGAGAGAGACAGACAGAGAGACAGAGACAGAGACAGAGACAGACAGAAAACTTTACAGCTCACAGACATTCTAAAGGACCCCTGGCGCTGCAGGGCAGGGGACTTTCCTCAGGACAGGAGCAGTTGAATCTCCCTATAGAAGCTCGTACTGCACAATGCAGAGTAAGCCTGAAATCTGGACACACCATTCATTCTCCTTCCTTAGGGTTCATTATTGTCACCTGCCAGAGGCCACGCAGACAGGGTGAGGTGATCTCAGGCTGCCGTATTGGGACAACCCCATCCCAACCCCCTCATCGCACCGGGCGTCCTTTCAACCAAACCTGGCCAGGGGAGGGGACTTCGGTCCCGAGGCCCCTCCTCCAAGCCGTTGGGGGAAGTTATGTAATCTAGATTGTGAAATTTAGGAAAAGCAAAAGTCTAAGCTCCCAGCTAACGGCTCAGACGCGGCACCCCTGATAGCGACCCCTTCTTCCGCTTCCCTCCCCCGCCCCGCCCGGGACTAGCGCGGCAAAGCTGTGGGCACTCAAGTCTGCAGGACACCTCGTGGGGCGGGACGGGGAGGTCGGAGTCAGGGAGCACGCAGGGCCACCTGTTGCGGCGGCCGGCTGGCTGCCGAGGAGGCTCCGGCCCCAGGGTCCCGCGCTCGAGGACTGCCCCGGGGCTGCAGCGCGCACCCAGTCGGCCCAGCTGCCCAGGCTTCCGCCGGGTCAGCTGACCGTCCAGTGCGGAACTGCGCGCCGCCGCCGCCACCGCTGCTGCGCTCAGGGGGCTCGGGGCCACCATGGCTGGGCTCATGGTCAGTGGAACTCAAGTAAGTCCGCCCGAAAGAGCCCGCGCTCGCCCGGGCGCAGCGGGGTGGGGGCCCGCGGGGTCCCTGGCTTCCACTTTGGCCCCAACCTGGGGTGGGGTGTGTGTGCAGGTGGACAGAAGGAAGAGCCAGTGCTGGGGAACACAGAGCCCTCTGCGCTGCACACCCCCCACCATGGGGGAGCAAACCCCTGACCCCCGTCCTGACACCCTACTCTGTCTCTGGTGTCTCACTAAGCGTCCAGCTTCTCTCCTTCAGACGTCAAAGGGGCCCACATACAATGTTTTAATTTCTTTCTTCTTTCATAATCCAAATTTATAAAAGATCTTTTGATCAAAGAAAAAAGTTTTAATGCGTAACATTTGACTTGTCTTTATACCAATTGTAGTTGCAAAATAGAATTAACTAATATTATTATATTTAAAAGGAGGACAGGCCCCATGGAGGCGAAAATGCCTAGGGCCACCAAAGTCACAATGGAAATCACTGTGCATGGGGGTGCAGCGTGGTGCTGGTGGTGGCTGTGGGGTTTCTGATAGGCTCTGTCATAAAGGTGGTCTCACTGGCCAATTAGGCCAAACAGCTCAGCGGATTAAAGCACTTGCAAGCAGAGGCCTGATGTGCCGGCCCCGCCCCCGCGGCACACTGAGAAGGCAATTGAGACTGGGCACAGTGGTGTGTGCCTGTAATCCCAGCACTTAGGAGGCTGTAAACAGGAGGATCACTAAGAGTCCGATCTAGTAATAAGACCCTGAGCACCCTGTAGACTCTTCCCTAAAATACAAAAAAAAAAAAAAAAAAAAAAAAAAAAAGTAATAAAAATAAAGGTGGTCTCCTTAGCCAGGGTCTTCTTTTGTTTTCTTTGGCTGCCTGACTTTTTAAACAATTTGTCTGTGGGGAAGGACAACATTCCAGCTCTGACCCTACATGATAGACACCCTGCCTCCCGGGGATTAGAGCCCTGTAGGAAGCGTAGGTGTTGTTAGCCAGTGCTGGAGTAGGAACTGGGCCAGGCAGGGACCAGGCATCTAGTATCCGCTGAAACCTTAGACCTCTCTACCTTTCACCTCCTCCAGCTCCCTAATTAACCTGGTCCTCCCACTGCTGGCCTTTGTCCACAGCCCCTGGAAGAGTAGTTCTAAGTTTTTGAAGCTCACTCTTTGAGTTGCCTGAGGCGATAGTGTCAAGCACAGTTAGATTTTTGAGATGACTGGGCTACAGAGGTGTGGGGTCTTACAACTCTGTCAGATGGAGCGAGGGCCAGCCAGGCACCCCATCCAACTGGCTCTTTTGTCTGGAGTCCTCTCATTTTGTCAACCACATGTGTTTGCAGAGTAACTCCTGTGCAGCAGGTCCTGTGCAGCAGGTCCTGTGCCAGGTGGTGCTAGACATGAAGCCCTTCCAGTCTCTCACTGCTCTGGCATTTTGACATTTTTATTGCATGGATTGCTGTCTCTGTCCCCAGCCTTGGCCTGTGAAGAAGGATCTGGTTTAGAGTTCAGAGTGAGCAGCCCTCAGCAGGACCAACCCATGGGAGTGATTAAAAAATGATTCTTAGCTCTATGTGCCTTGCTGGCCCCGCCCCCAGGCACCCTGAGCAGGCCACAGAGACCCTGTGTGGTAATCCTAGCACTGGGGAGGCTGAAAATAGCAGGATCACTACGAGTCCAAGTTGTGTAGTAAGACCCTGTACCAAATACATTAAAAAGAAAAAAGAAAAAAAAAGATCCTTAGGGTGGGGGAGATAGCTCGGCAGCACAAGCACCTGTCTGGCAAGCTCAGGTCCTGAGTTTGATTCCCAGTATCCCCCCCAAAAAAGACCCTTACTCTGCTTCAGAGAAAAGGGTTTGGGGAGCTGCTGTGAACTTGATTTCTTAGAGGGAAGGTCTTGGAGTGAGGGTCAGGCCTTCCTTCCCTGTGGAAGTTTGTCTGAGAAGGATCCTAGGTCTGGCTGCATTTTAAGTCCCATCATTCTCTGCATGTAGCTTCTTCCAAGTTCAAGGAGGACTTAACAGTGGGTTCCACAACTTTCCTGGGCATCCTTTCCCTATTTCCCAAACTTCTTGTTTCTTTCCCCTTCTGCCATGAACCTACTGTAAACAGTCTAAGGACATTCAGGAAGTGTAGTTGAGCATTTTTGGTCCTTGGGGAGCAGGTTAAGAAGCCTGCCTAGGGAGGAGCTGAGAAGGCAGGCTGGGAAAGTGGCCCTGGATGTTAGTTAGTGCCCCTTGCCTGGCCCGAGGTGGTCCATATGTGTGTTAATGTGTTGCCTGAGGCAAGTTATGATGGCCACTATTGAAAGAGGGAGCTTCCTGAATGTACATGGCGTGGAACTTTTCAGACTTTGCTAGATTGTTCCTTTTGGGGGAAAAAAGTTTCTTAGTTTGGCACATAGTAATTGTATCTATTTATGGGGTACAGTGTTGTATTCCAATGCATGTACAGTATGTCTTCACCAGAAGACAGTAATTGGTATATTCATTTTCAACCACTGATCTCTTATTTCTTCATGTTATGGACTTTCAAAATCTCTCTGTTAATATTTTGAGGTACACAGTAGTCATCAACCATAGTTACCTGGCTGTGCTATACAGAACTTTAGAAGTTATTTTTCATATCCCACTATAGTACTTACCTGCTTTCCCCTTTCCCACTCTCTAGTCATCCTTATTCTTTTTCTTCCCCCTCCTGTATTTAGGACAGGGTCTGTAGGGTCTACAGGTTCTTACTAGGTTCAACTCGTGATTCTCCTGTTTTCAGCCTCCCAGGTGCTGGGATTACAGGTGCACGCCACCATGTCCAGTCTCAATCCCCATCTCAGTGCACCCTGTGGGCGGGGCCGGCACCGCTTATTGGGGCCAGGGATTGATCCCCAGGGCCTGTGCTCTGCCTAAGCAGGTGCTTTAGTCCACTGAGCTAGCAGGCTGGCCCTAGTCCTCGTTATTCTATTTAAGAGGTGGATCCTTCTGAAAGGGGGAAAACTTCCCACGAGAAAAGTGTTGGTGATGGTTTTTATTGCAATATTACTGAAACATACAAACATAAAACCAGATGTAACTCTAAATATTTAGAGAGCTGTAAATCCCAAGTAAAGGGATGGTTTAAGTGCTAAGTAAAAAAAAAAATTAAAATAAACAATTTAATGAGATGGGCGTTTGACTGAATCTAGATGGCTGTGTTCTGTGGCACCCTGGGCTGGCGGCTGCAGCAGCTCCAAGGCCTGTAATCCCATGAGCTTGGTGATGCCGCAGTCCTCTGTCATGTTCCCTTGTGAAGTCTCTTCCTTCGGCAGGGTCTGACTTCATTCAGCTTTTCTTGACTTGAACACATTGTTTGTATTCAGCATTAAGGCCTTTATTCTCTTCACAAGAGCGTGACAAAAATCCCAGCATCAATTGTAGACACAAATGCAAACCTGAAATTTGGGCACTGAAGTCTTACTCTTAAGAGACATCAGAAATAGCCAATTTCTTTTGTAGGGATATTGACCTGATTTTATAGCTATTTATTAAGCAGTTCTCAGGTGTCAAGGACAAGGCTGTGTGCTTTTCATATACCATTTTAATAATGTAAGTAAATGGGTTTAATAATGTAAGTAAATGGGTATAATGGCATATGTCTCATAAGTGGTTTCATGAGGGACACATGCTGGCATTTAATAAACTTTGCTTTATATTATCCTTCCTGCCTTTGGGGGCAGACAGTGTTAGCTGAGTTTCCAAAAGAGGAAGCCGACTTTGGGAGACTGTGACTCACCTAAGATAAAACAGCCAGTTAGTAGTGCAGGCTCTCAAGCTTTGTACCTAGGGCTGTTTATACTGTCACAGAGCTTTGGGTAATTCAAATACCATTTCAAGGATCCCTCACACCTTATTAGGGATGGGTGTCATGAAATAAGCTCCCCTCCTTCTGACCGCTGATAAATCTGCTCTGTCCAGAAAGGTCCTGCGAGCAACTGCCTCAACGGCGATGAGAAAGCTACAGTCCTTTTCAGCTTGATCTCCTGCATCTTCTGCCAGAGGGCCTGGGGGTGCATATGCAGGGTCTGTCCAACACTTTCTCAGTTTCCTCTCTCATCTTCCTCTCTGGCAGGATATTTACTTCATCTATATTCTTTCTTTTTTTAATGTATTTAGTACAGAGTCTACAGGATCTCACTACACAGATCAGACACCTAGTGATCCTCCTGTTTTCAGCCTCCCAAGAGCTGGAATTACAGGCTTGCGCCACCACGCCCAGTCTCTTTAGTCTAGCTGAAGACAATGGACTAAATGTATTGACTTCTTGTCCTGGATGTGCTCTCATTTCTTTGTTATTTAAGACCTCTTTGGCCAGGCATAGTGGTACATGCCTATAATCCCAGCACTTAGGAGGCTGAGGGAGGAGTTGGAGGCCAGCTGGGGCTGGATAGAAAGTTCAGGGTTGGCCTGGATTACATAGTGAGATCCTGCCTCAAAATAATTGCTGTATTATGTTGAACAAGGTCCTGAAGCCTAATTGCTGTATTATGTTGAACAAGGCCCTGAAGCCTAACTTCATTATATAAAGGATAAAGGGTTGGACACATTGGGTCCCTATTAGATACAGTCCCTGGTTGATCTGTGAGGAAATAACTGTGTTTTGTTCAAGACTCAGCTTCTCTGCTGTGTCCTGAGTATTGCTGATTACTACTTGATGGTGGGATGAGATGGTTCTTGGGTGAGCCCTGTATGTTGGGGTGTCAGTGTGAATTTATAATCAGTAAGAAGCTACTGATTGAGAAGATAGTTGGTTGGGATCTCCTATCTAAGCTCTCTTCCTTGGTGTATAATTTCCACCTCAGCTTGGAAACACAGCTTAATTTATTATGCTAGGACCTACAAAGGAAGACAGGTCTATGTAGAAAGGGGAGATTGCTAGATTGAATTTAGATGCCTTTGGTTTTTAGCTTGTCTCTTGCTGAGTCAGAATTATTTTATTGCAGCTGGCTACTCTCCACTTTCTCTCTGGCCAGAGTGAAGTTACTGAAGGAGAGTGAATGGGGTACAGTGGATATAGGATATTGTATTATCAGAAGTTTGTCCCTATAGAGAGTCTTTCCTGTTCCTTGTCTCAGTCTAGGACCCTTAAACTTGTAATGCCATGGAAGAGTTATTGGAATTCTAGTGCGTTAACTCCGATTTACCACTTCTAGTGCAATCCATGGTGAGAATAAACACTAAAGTGTGTTTGTAGTTGTGGGGAGCCAAGGGGGTCATACACCCAGCTAGTATGATGGCTAATGAGAGCCAAGGCCTCCACCCAAGGCTGTATAGGGATTTCATTGATTTGTGAAGAGGTGAGTGGCTCAGAGATGAGCGACGGTAAGAGTGATGGGCAGTAGGGGAGTGCTGTGAGCTGGGCTAGGTAGGAGGCCTGCGTTCACCTTTACAGCATGAAGAGAGAAGGACATGTGGAAGGAGTAATCTGCATGACACAGTTCAAGGTAGCATCTCATGTTTTGGGGTTGGTCCTTCAGCTCTGATGTATAATTTTTTTTTTTTTTTATGGTACTGGGTTTAAAAAAAATTTTTTTTTATGGCACTGAGGATTAAACTCAGGACCTTGCACTTGCCAGGCAAGTGCTTATCCTGCTGAGCTATCTTCCTAACCTGGCACTGGGGATTGAATTTGGGACCTTATACTTGCCAGGCAGGCACTTATGCTGCTGAGCTATATCCCTGGCCCACTAATATATAAATTTTGTGCCCTGGGAAGCCATAGCCTCTTATCTCAAGGCTGATCCCAGCTGACAGCAGGAAGCATGGCTCTCCATCCTGCCCAGCTCATGTGTTTCTTGGGAGGTACAGGGCAAGGTAACAGCGCCCTGACACTTTACTTCAAGGGTTACACATCAGCACCTCTCTGGACCAGCTTGCATTGCTTAAAGTCCATTGATGGGCTAAGAAAAAGTCCTGTCCAGCTCTGGACATATCAACACATGTAAATAGGGCCAGGTCTAGCCAAAATGGAGAACATCGTTCTTCTTTCAAGGAGAATCATCCAGATGGTCCTCCACATGTCCCCACTGGATAGGACAGGGATAAGCGATGATTTCATAAATGAAAGGTGCCAGAGTACATTGCAGTTTGCTTTATGGTTAGTTCTGTTTTATGGTTAGACAATGGTCTCCCTAATGATGATGTGAGACGGCCGCCATGTTTTTTCTCCATTAGGCAACATAATGCCTTGAGGAATTTGTCCCTCACTTCAAGACGTCTTGGTTGATCTGCATAGGCAAATGTAGATTTTGGGCTGGCTTTCTATGTAGGGCTGAACATGGGTATTTTAGGGTTGTCCCTTGTGTTATAGCCCGCAGACCATCTCCCACCTATGGGCTTGCTTTTCCAATGCTGAAATTAGTCCCCAGTCCTGCTGCAAGGCACCACTGAAAGAATGGGTTCCCTAAAGCAGGTGGTTGGGGTGATGAGAGAACGCATCAGTCTTCTAACCTGAAGTTCTGGGGTCAGAGTTGAGTTTGGTAACTTTACATATTTGGGCCTACCTGAGGTGCTTTAAGTAAATAAATACATACAATAAAGAAATGCAAAGAATGCCTAAAGAGACAGCTGTGTCAGCAGAGGCAGGTTGATTGCAAAAGGCTGCTGCCGGAAGAGGGATGACGTGGATGCTCTGGCCGCAGGTTGCTGCCCCGCTACCTCTGCCTCAGCTCTGTTTGGATGTTGGTGAGGGCATCTGCTATGTCCTCTGTGTGGATGTGGGCATTACAGGGTGATGAAGGGACAGTGGAGGGAGGGGAGCCAGAGGGCCAGCCTTTGGAAAGGTCTCTGAGTGAGAGGCTGAGTATGGGGAGCATACCAACACGTGCAGCTCTTGGGCTTGCTTTTGGACACCCAAATCTGGCCAATTTGAGTCTAATTTCCACAGTGCTGGGGAGACCTCCTGAATCAGGACAGAGGAGAAGTTGGCAGAATCTGTCATGCTCCCAGTCACCATGTGGTGTTACAGTTGCACATGGTTACAGTTGCGGAAGCAATCACCCCATCGATGACTCTGGGCTGTGAACAGCTGGGCAATTTCTGTTTGCCACATTGTTTCTGTTGCATTTAATTTCCAGGTGTCCTACACAGGCCAGGACTGCAGAGAAATTCCAGAACACCTTGGCAGGGACTGTGGACATTTTGCAAAGAGGCTTGATCTGAGCTTCAACCTTCTGAGGTATGTGACCTTCATAAGACACAGGCCAGGCCTGGGACGCTCAGTTCCCCTGGGTGCTTGTGGGCCGGCAGATAAAAGTCAAAGGTGACAACTCTGTACAGAGTATCCTTTTATTCAGCCTGGGCTCCCCAGACACACGGGATCACACCCCAAAATTTGGCTCTGCTCTGGATGATTTGTCACCTGGCTTTTCGATGCCTCCAAGGAAGCAGCGAACATCTGTGTGTCATCCATCTCACCTGAGTTCCTATGGGAAGGCAGTTGCATTTTCACTTTGTTCTTTTGCTTTCTCACTGCTGCCTATGAGGGCAAGTCAGAATCTTCTTAGGGAGGGAATGAGAGGGAGCCAGCAAGAGTTTTGGGATGTGCGTTAGGTAACCCCCCCTTTTTGGATAACTCGGTCTCCTAAAGCATTTGCCAGGTCACAGGTAGAGTCAGGGTGTACGTGCTGGCTTTCATTTGCCTTTTAATGAATTGGTGCTTTAAATATGTGTGTTGACGATCTCTCCCAGATGGTGTTTCAAAGGAATCGAACGCTGCTGCTTTGGGGTGGGTGAGAGAGAAAGAAATTCTCTAACGGCTGCTCCAATCTTGGCCAAAGATATGTGTGTGTGATCTTGCGTATTATTCCAATGGAGAACGCAGTTACTTTGTTTCTTTCTCGAAGGTTCTATATTCTGACTGAATTGAAGGCTTAAGAGAGAAATAGATGGTACTGGGAAAGCAGGGATCAGAGGGATAGATGGGTGAGGGTTTTCCTCTTAATCAACCACTCAGGGCTTGTCCTCCAAATGCCCTCTTGAGATTGGTGTTGTTTATCGAATTGTGCCAGGACAGGGGTAGAAGAGGAGATGAATCTGATTCCTGTTCCGGGGCCTGAGAACTTTTCTGCTTCTAGGCCTTGGAGCAAGCCTTTTCTGTCCTCAATTCTGAGTCAGGATATTGACTCAATTAAGAATTGGGGAGAAGATGGGCAAAACTTGGGGCACTAAGGTACCAGCAGGTAGAGGAGAATTTTAGTTTGAACTAAGGTGGCAAAAATTCTCCAACTGCGTGGTGCTGAGCTGTGTTGTCTCCAGGAGAGACTGTCCAGAGGATCATGATGGAAGTGTGTCCACATTGTGTCCTCCCCCTGACTGTGGGGATGGTGTGTCTGCGGGGAGATGCGGAAACTGAACATGGCAAACTCAATGCACGGTGGTAAGAGGAAGCCGTACAAATACCGACTCAAGAGAAATGCAGGATGGTTTGTGGTCCCACTGCTCAAGGCAGAGAGGAATTTGTCCAATATATATTTGCATCTCTTAAATAGTTCCCTGGTGTGGGCTCAGATGAAAGGTTCCTTCTCTGGGGTTAGAGTTCCTCCCTTATGACTGGCTTCCAGGGCGTCAAGCCTTTATGTCTTGGGGCTGTGGTTGCCTTGTGAATGACTGGTGAAGCCCGGATGTGGGCTTGGGGAGGCCTGGCTCAGTGAGGGGTGTCAGTGGGTAGAGGTCATGGGACTGAACTCAGGTCTGAGGAAACAGAGCTGTCTTTGTCATGCTCAGGCCCCTGCTTGCCTTAGCAGAGAAGAGGCTGGTCTGAGAGAGAGACAGAGACAGAGAGACAGAGAACAAGGGACTCAGTTTTGAGGGGCTGGATCTATAAGGATTTATCATGGGTAACAATGGGTCCTGAGTATAGGAAAATTTAGTAAAAGGAAGGTTTGTAAAGCGGACCTAAAGGAGAACAGTAAAGACATATTTTCCTTTGTGGTGAGGAAAAAGTTCTCTGTAGCAGTGCGAGGCCTTATCACATCTGTGAGGAGCCTGTTCTGGTCTGTGTTGTGGTCAGCACATGATCTCTTCCAGGGCTGCTGCTGAGTTTCCGCAGGGAGGCATGGTGGAGCGTGAGGCCTGAGGTTCAGGCAGAGCATGTGTTTAAGAGTTGGTTAAGCTGGAGGGAGATACAGGCCAGAGTGGAGAAGGGCTCGCTTGACTTGACTCATGTATGCCTGGGTTGGATCATCTTTGATCTTGATATACCCATTTGGGGGCAGGGACATTATTTCTCTTCGGTGTACACAGAGGAAGATGCAGGTTTACTCAGCCACCAGCCTGTGTTTGCCTTCAGCTAGATCAAAATCTAAGGTGTTTTACATACTTTGCTAATTTCTCGTTAAAAATATATATTAGGGTAAGAACAGAAAGAAGGAAAGAGATGGACGTCATCAATTTGCTTCCCAAATAAGTGGGTGTGTGACAGATAACACAAGCTTGCTAGGTTTCTGGGATCACTGTGTCCAAATGAAGTACTGTGAGTCTGCATCCTGTATTTGCTAGCACCCCCCGGCACCCCCTTTTTGGGCGATAGCAGAGAGTGTGTTTCCCAGTCAGCCTGTGCTGCACGCAAGGTTGCCACAGCTCCGTGCTCTGATATCTCTCGACTCTTTCATCTGCCATTCTTGGCAGCCTGCCTGGCCCCGCTTGGGACACTCTTTTCTCCAGAGCTCAACACATTATTATGTGTTATGGACTTGTATTGCCTGTCCAAGTTATAGCATGTTTTGGGGAGGTGGGGATGGAATTTGTACTAGATAGCAGGAGAGATCCTTAGAATAGCACGGTTCTTGGAAATCTCCTGGGGACTCCCTGCCATAGAGGATTTCTCTCTGGAAGTCTCTCCTCAGGGTCAGGCCTTCCCCAAGTTGCCTACCTCTCCCTGCCTCTTTCTCTCCTCGTGCCATTTACTCTGTGTCCAGAGCAGCCCTCACGAACAAAGTTCTCACCTTATGATATACAGAAAAATTAACCCTCTCCTTTCCTTTGCAGAACCTCTTTGCAGCATTCTTTTTTACATGCAAAATCACATCAGAGTATTGCTTTCAACTGAGAAATACAAAGTTCCCTACTTGCCTGGGTTGCAAGATCCACTGCAGCCTGCCTGTATGTTGGGCCACAATTTGTTTTTAGGCAAGGAAGTTCTCTTTATTCATTTTTTCTTTATTCATTTTTGAATAGTTAAAAGACACCCATGGCACACATAGCTTTTAGAAAGCCCAAATATGGAGGGAGACAAGGTTCTTCTTCCCATGTATGTTCTTGATCCTCCCACTTCCACTTGGTGTTCTCTCCCTCCCTCTCCCTCTCCCCTCTCCCCCTCCCTCTCCCTCTCCCCCTCTCTCCCTCCCTTCCTTCCTCCCGGCTCCCTCTGGTACCTGGAATCAGACTTAGGATCTTGCACTTGCCAGGCAGGTGCAATGGTTCATGCAGATCCATTTCTTACTGTCAATTTCTGATTGTCCAGCTTTGTGAGGTATAACTGACAGTTAGAGTTGTATATATTTAATGGTGTAGAATATGATGTTTTTATATACATATGCATTGTGAGATTGTTACCATGCTCAAGCTAATTTACACTTCTGTCACCTCAAAAAGTTGCCCTTTTGTGGTGAGAATGTTAAAGATGTACTTTCTTGGCAAATTTCAAGCATTCAACGTAGTAATATTAACACAATCATCATGCTGTAGGTTAAGCTTGACTTTAATCCATTTTGAGTCAATTTTTCTACATAAGTATCCAAATTCATTGTTTTCTAGAACTTACTCATCTTGCATAGCTGAAACTTTTTATGTTTTGACCAAAACCTTTCCAGCTTCTCAACCTCCTAGTCCCTGGCAACCACCATTCTGTTCTTTTCCTCTGTAAGTTCCATTTCTTAGATTCCACGTGTAAGTGAGCTTGTGCAGTATTTGTCTTTTTGTGCCTGTCTAACTTCACTTAGCAGAAGTCCTCTGGGTCCATCCCTTACCATTGTGGATGATAGGATTTCCTTCTTTTTTTTTTTAAAGGCAAATAATACCCAATTGTGTGTATGTATTAGTATCACTTTTTCAAATCCATTCATCTGTCCATGGACATTTAGATTAAGTCCACATCTTGACTGTTGTGTGCAGGGCTGCAGTGAACACAGGATTACAGATGTCTCTTTTACATATTTATTTCATTTCCTTCGGATATGTAACCAGAAGTGAGATTTCTGAAGCCAATGGAAGTTCTCTCTTTAATTTTTTTTTTTCGAAGAACCGCCATGCTGTTTTGCACAGTCACTGTATCCATTTACATTCCCACTGAGAGCTCCCTTTTTTCCGTATCCCTGTCAGCACTTGTTATACTTTGTGTCTTTGATGATAGCCATTCTAACAGGTGAGAGATGATATTTCATTCTGGTTTCGACTGATAGTTCCCTGACGAGGTAGTGATGTTAAACATTTCTTCATCTATCTGCTGGCTGCTTCTATGTCTTCCTTTGAGAAATATCTACTCAAGTCCTTTGCCCATTGTGAAATGAGGTTATTTCTTTTTTTACTATTGAGTTGTTAGAGTCCCTTCTATTTTTGGATATTAGTCTCTCAGTGGATGTATGTTGATTTTGGTAGCCAGCCAGTGGTTGGGAGATGGTGAGATCTTTAAGTGGTAGGACCGAGGGGAGGTCATTGCAGGTATGCCCTTGAAGGGGACTAGGGGACCCTGGCTCTTCCTTCCTTTTGTACTTGACCAAGAGGTGAATGGGCCTCTTCTACCAGGCTCTCCCATCATGTTGTACTGCCATACAGCAAGGTCAGCTCACTTTGGAAATTTTGGTCTGAAATATCTAAAACTCTGCGCCACAAATCATTCCTCTTTTTTCAATGTTAATTTTAATTTTATTTTTATTTTTTGAACCTGGAATTAAACTCAGGACCTTGTGCTTGCCAGGCAGGCAGTGTGATCCTGAGCTGTATCCTCAACCCCTCATTTATCCTCAGTCCCCATTCTTTTTTTTATGCATTTGGTGCAGGGTCTCACTATGCAGCTTGGACTTGTAGTGATCCTCCTGTTTTCGCTTACCCAGTGCTGGGATTACAGGCATGCACCACCATGCCTGGCTGGTGCATATATATTTATGATTGTTGTCTCTTTGTATTTGATTGTTTCTTTACAACAATGTAGTGATCTTCATCTCTCTTAATCAATCTTGG